CAAATTAAGCTAGTGAACCACCATTTTCTTTCCATACATATCGAAACATGTATTTAAGAATTTTTAACTCAAACACAATTGTACCTTATTGTACAATAGGAATGTCCATTACATACCCCTTTTCTCAAATGCCTTAATATTTTTTTTTTCGTCATACACCATCATACCATAATTGTATAATAGGAATACATATTACCTTTACTTTGTTAAGCACCATTATACCTTATTGTATAATGGGAGTGCATATCACATTTATTTTGTTAAGCACCATTATACCTTATTGTATAATAGGAATGCTATGCAAAATCTCAATTAGGCATTATTGGTCTCATCACCAATAATAATACATAGGGACATCACAATCCCCCACATTGGGAGTATCTCAAATATGTCATTCTCACATTCCTCAAAAAATTGAGTTCATGAAAAAACTCATTTTTCTCACAAGATTTCACAAGAGCTTATTAGCTCATCTCACATTTTATCATTACAAATGGTTCCTTGATCACGCAAGTTTAAAAAATTTAACTTACGTTTTCGGAATATATCAACCCAAATTTTATGTCCATTTTTTTTAAAAATTATTGCATGAACCAAATTGGGTAACTCTCTTCTTTATTCTTTTTATTTGGGTTTTGAAATTTTTCATGGTTCCTAAATGAGTAAGACAACACAACATTTACTAAAGATTCGATAGACAATAAAAATAATCAACTAACAAAATATGTGATTATGAACAATCTTTACACATAATGGCATGACCAATGCACTTAGCATTTTACTAGCCATTAGAGTTAAATCACATTATTAGCACTGCATTGAAAACTAACAGCTACATCATTTTAATGTGTCCATAATCATGCAATAACCAAGGGAAAGATTACATATAAATGCATTTAATTAATTTTTACTGTTAGAAAATAGTGATCACCAATTAATTATATATCAATGGTGCATATTAATGCTCATAAATTACACAATAAAAAAGCACTTCCAATTTATAGAGCTTTTATATCCATATTTTCATATTAAAATATATACTCTACCCATGATCACATTCAATTTAAATGGTTAGTATCATAATACTCAATATTAAGGGAAAACTCCCACATTAATATACATGCATTTATCACTTAATATAACATTAAGGCTAATCATAAGGTCCATGATTGTTTGTATATAATTAAGTAATAAATCGCCATTGCATATAACCTATGAATGGTCATGTATCTTTGTGCCAAATTAATCACAAATTCATATATGTATCAATGCATGTATAATGGGAGACATTAAAATTGCATGTACAATGTCTTAACATTTTTTTTTTTTACCGTTCACAAGCCATTAAAAATAGATAGCTTACCATTCAAGCATGTGCTAATAATCATATTAGGATCTAAAAACTCGTACCTGTTTGGAGGCACCTAAAACAAATAATATTTTGCTTACATAATGTGCCATGTGCTTCAATTTTGCTTTTGCATATTGAATCGTCTTAAAATTGTTATTCCTCGAACACTCTCCTCCATCTTCATATCATGTCATTGTTGTGCCTCAGTTACAAGATTAAATAAAATAATAAATAGTGAACTTATATAGAAATATTGATGGCAAAATATCATCGAAATAAGTGTGAAAAGTTTACTTACTTTAAGGCGATTCACACCTCTGCAAAGAGTAGATCAACCAATGCAGTAGAGATATATTTAGCATGTTGCCCCCAGGATCTTACAGCCTTATAATAACACTTATGGATTTGCACTACTCATAGAGTTACCTTACTCAAAACATCCTTCTTTACCCAAGAATATCTAGAAGATAAAGGTAAAGAAAATAGGAGAATGTGGAGGAACCCTATTTTGAGCAAATAGACATGTCCTATTTATAGGACTGATGGTCTTGTAACTCTCATTTGTAGGTTAGTAATATGAATAAATTAGGTAAGTATTATGAAATAATGTGCCCTTAAGTAGAACAATTAACCTACAACGACTAATTTGACCAAGTCCTTAATGAGACAATAAATTCAATTTATAAAATATAGTATTTTATTTTTTATTAAAATATTTAAGTTTCAACATAACATAGAAGCCCAACATTGGGTACGTTAATGAGAATCTTTGGCATTGGTATTTTAGGGATTAACTGCATCAAATGGATCTAATCGTGAGAATGAGTAGGAACCATAATCTTCTGTTTTATTTTCATGCAAATTCCTTAAGTTAATTGATATTTCTTAAATCTTGTGAATGTTTCAAGTCTGAATTTTTTATTTGTTCATTGTAGCACCACCATAGCAATAGCAATATTAATATATGTGTGTAAATACTGTAATCATCTTATATTTGACTGGAGTATCATTCTGTAAAAAGGGAAATTTTTAATTTAATCATGCTGAAATTAGCTAAACTGCTTTTTTTTTTTATTGATAGGTTTTGAATTTTGTTCACTATCATTTTGTTGATGGTTTGATATTCAAGAATGGATTTTGTACAAAAATGTCTTGAATGTTAACAGCTTGACGCTTAAGAATGGTTTTTTTATGCAAAAGAATATTAATTCATTAAACTTTAGTGGTGTTATTCTTACTAATAGAATACTAGCTTTTAAATGTGATCCTTTCTTACTGACAATTTTTTAGCTTTTGTATGAAATTCTTCTCTTAATAGTTTTATACTAAGAATGAGTCCATTTTTCTTGCACTCATATTTTTAATTTAAATTTTAATTATTTTAATTAAATACCTTTCAATTAACAATATATAATATTGTATCCGTTCATTGAGAGTTAAATGTACTAGTATATATATGTATATATGAAAGCTAATCTCATGAATTGAAGTGAACCTATTAGAAACTTAGCAAAATCGGCTCCTACTAATGTAAAAATTTTTAGTTAAA